GAACATAACAATACAGCTTATAAAAGAATCAAATAACTTAAAAATTATATTAAGGTCTCATAAACTGAACATAAGTGCTCACAATCAACAAATGATTCGAGATATCGGTGGTGCCCTTTTTACTCGCGGTCCTTCAAGTCCTTTTACCCCGCTCTACCCTATTGATTTAAGCATATCTATTGAGAGTATTCAATTAAATTATATCGTCAAATGGAGAGATATATGTGGATAATTCATAATACAAATCATATTGTTTGTCGGCATCACATTTCCTTATTATGATGTCTCTATTATCGCCTCAAAGCCATAACTCTATTTTAATAAGCGACATGGCATTCGAGCGCAGAATATGTGCATTTTCTGTTATAATTGTTGTTTTGCAATTGTTGAGTTCATAAAACAAGGAAATGAATATCGTAAAAAAATATTTGAACTATCTACCGCACTACTTTGATCCTTTCACTAAATTATAATCGCAGAATTAACGAAGCGTGCCAAACATAATGATATGTATAAAAAGCTTAGTTTTGATTTTATTTGCATTAGAAATTATTGCATAATGTTGTACGTCCAGTTAATAAAATATTATTAATTGATGTTATTGCCACAAATTCCCTTAAATCTTTATATAAATATACATCTTACATCTGCCAACATAAATATCGATGTCTTCTAAAACATTGTTTCAAGAGAAAGAGATATTTAAGAAAGTATGTATTTAAATTTCTATTTTTATGCTATTTGTCATAGGTCAGTTTTGTGTGTACCTAACATTTAAACTACTCATCATTTTAACTACTCATTATCTGTAATTATAACCGTTTGCATGCTAGTAATAATTTGTATGCTTTTGAATGATCATGATAAAGAAGAAGGACAGTGGATCTTTAAACGATTTGACCCTAATGTCAAGAGTTGATTGGAATCATGATTCTTTATTGTAAATTGTTTTAAAGTCTAGTCTTGGGATAGCTTACTAGTTGAAAAGCTTTGATTTGTTTGGGATTCTCATTTTTGATAGCTATAAGAATTTTGTCATTCATTTCAAAACAGCCCAATAATTGTAGAGAAGAGTTCTAATCCAGTCATTATAGTAAGTTCATCTCGAAATTCGAGATATCCAGCTGTAAGTCTGTAAATACTTGAATATTGAAACCCTATAGTTGTCTCAAAACCTACATATGGTATTGACACCCTGTCATATGTGGGTATCTCGAATTCCGAGATTTTTACCTAATTTAAGCTTAAATGACTGGACTATACGGTTGTCTGAATGAACGCAATAATGAAAACTTGTTCAAACAAACATACTACATTTTTCCGTCTTGAAACTTATCTCATATGATGACTGTCACTACCGTATATGATACAACTATATTTAGAAGATCTATATTTTTAAGGAAAAATGAATATCACTACTGCTTGATATCTGTTTTTTTTTAAAACACAATTATTTGTAGTACTTATAATTATATGTGAGAATTCCATAGACCTTATGTATGAGGTTCATAAATTTTTTTCAAAAAACGATGACGTTTATTTGTTGATTTACGAGTATTAAACATGTCCAAGAATTTACAAAACATTTATCAAAAGTTCATCATATTACAAAAGTTATTTATATGTTGTAATTGAATATATCAGCTTTATTTCCATATTAAATTCTGGTCACATATTTATATTTACTATGCCAAAAGTTTATTGCTGTGTATTATTATCGAACTTGTATATTTTCGCAAAACAAATTTGAATTACAAAACATTAAACAATTTTAATCTGGTGTATTGTTTCAAATATTACTAACAACAAATTCTGAGAAAATATCAACATTCGCATTTTAATTATTGGTATTGTTTATTTTCCTTCTTAATCATTACTTATAATGTTTATGATGTCATGCAGGGATCCTGCAATTAATTAGTTTGATTAAACATTTGTTATTTATTTATATTTGAACTTAGTCATGTATAAGGTGATTATTTAAGTCTGTCTAATAATTTATACATTCATACTTCCAGTTATTTATCAAAAAAGCTAAATTTGCTATAATAATATTAACCAAATAATAAAATTTAAAAGAATTAATTTATATGTGTTTGATCGAGTTTTAAAAGTCCGCGGGTAAAGAGGTCCACCAAAGATATCTTAAAAGCAAGTAAAGTTTTAACTTACAAAGTTTTACCCTAACAAAGAAACGCCTTGGCTGATCGTGGTGCAAAACAAACGGCAATCCTTATCGCGTTACATCGAATGACTTACGAATTTTGAAATTTTTGGGAAAACGTCGACAAAAGGTGAAAAATCTGCTCAAACACACACACACACACACTTTTCTCAAATTTGGTCTCATTCAATTCAGAATGGCTTAAAACGTCGAGAAATCATAAAATTAGCGAGTCGGCTTTTTAGAACAAACTTCTCCTTCAAGAAGTTAATTAGCAGAAATACTATATCATTGTTAAGATACATATTTAATTAGAAAATGCTTAGCCAAACTAAGTTAGTAAATTACAAAATAAGACAAAAACTTAAATGAATCCATCTTAATCAGTATAGTGTTTAAATTATAATTACATGGCAACAAAACAATATTAAATTATATCTTCTATTGCTTACACTTAATAACTTAATCTAACCTGTCGAAGTTTTTGTGTTAATCATTAAATGACGTTAAGATGAATTATGTTCTAATTATATAAGATTACATAGGAAATACCAAAATCAAAAAACTTGGTATCAACACTTTCTACTGGTGTGGATTTGAACGGCAATATTTCAAACGAACGATGGATCAAAGGTCTTGATATAGAAAGCAATCTGGTATAAGATAATTTAATAATAAATGCCTTTATAAATAAATGATAGTTCACAGAAACTAAATTACATGAGTAACTAGTATGGGTGCTCTTAGACTTAAATCCTAAAAATTGCTGCTTGTTTTCTAGCTGCAATTAGAAATTTGATATTTTATAAGCTGGTGAATGATGACTTTTTTTACTATATTACATGAGTAACTAGAATGGGTGCTCTGAGAGTTAAATCCTAAGCTTTAACCTTTAATCCTTCTATAAGTTGGTGTATGATAGTTCATTCTTTACTGAAAGATGATAGAATACAACTCTATTTTTTACCTACAATTTTTATTAGATGGCAAACCAAGCAGATATCTTTCCTAATTGTGATGATATTTCAACTTTTAGAATCGGTTCCTAATAAATGCAAGGCTGAGGCTCTACCACGACGCCACGTAAGCACCAACTTATACTTTTTGAAAAAACAATTATTTTTTAAAATTTAAACGAATTATAAAATATGCGTCGATTACGATTTCGAATAGTTATATTTTGTTTATATTTTATATATGCATTTTATTAAAAATATCAATGGAAATATTCGTACTAGAATTTTCTCCAAGAAGTGAACTCTAAATTATTATTGTTTTTTTCTATTCTAACTTTTTTCTTTCTTTTATATAACAATAGCTTATAAGATTTCATTACATTTTGGTTGCTACTTTTAAAGAAAAAAAAAATAGATACATGAATTCCAAAAATGGAAATATCTGGAATACCTTTTTCGGAAGTCTGAAATTCTCCTTGTAAATTTTCCTACTATAACGACAAATATACTTTGTAAGTGACTATGGTAATAAAAGTAATTACAGGAAATTATAGCAAAATCCGTTATATTTTTTCCCAGCAATGGCATAGTTTTTCATGTTTGATTAATATTCAAAGTATATGCAGCTTCCTCTGCTAATAGCATAAATGCAAAAAATAGGATGCAACAATTTTATAGAAGGTAATTTTAAGTAAATAAACTAATGCGAAAGAAAATCTTCATAAATTCACATGAAGATAGATTATTTTTGCAAAAAAATCTTTATTTTTTATTAGTTTCTCTATTATATTGTGATTTTAGTTTGTTCAGTAATGGATTTTGGAATCTGTTGGGATATACTCCTACTCAAGAAATAATAATATTGCATAGTTGTGCATAAATCCAGTTTGATTTTGTGTGATGACATCTTTGCAAATTCATATTGATTTAAAAATATTAAGAACCCTAAACTAAATCTAAGTCTCAAAAATAAAATAATTATCACTTACATCTTCGATAATGTGGTCCAAATTCAGGATATCATTCGTAAAACACTGCTGCTGCCACCTGGCGCAGGCGTCGTGGTAAGTAAAAGTATGAGGTTCCTCATCGTCGTCCATTCCTGCTCCTAAGCCTTTTGCAGGAGGCCACTGAACTGTGGCATTTTGTATGAGATCGTCCAGCAATCGCAATTCGTGCCACACTTCTGCTCGGAGCAGGTTGTCACCATCTTTTGGAACTACTATCACTCTTCCAAAACGACCTGGCGATAGAAAGATAATATAATTATTTTTGATTGTTATTTGTTCGGGATTAAGTTTTGATCTACGCTTTTAATTAAGTCTATTTCTATGCTCTTCAGTATGTTTAGATCTGCGATTTTTAGTAAAATTAGATCTACCTTGTTGGCAAGTCTAGACAATCTACATCTACATATCTACATCTACGATCTTTATTAAGTCTACGTCAACGCTCCTTGGTAAGTCTAGGTCTACGCTTTTCAATAAGTCTAGAACTAAGCTCTTTGGTAATTCTAGATCTACTCTCTCTGATAAGTCTAGATTTACCTTCTGTATTAAGTCTAGTACTGAATCTTCGCTTTTTAAAGTCCTGATCTACAATATTTATTAAATTTAGAGCAGTGGTCAGGAAACCGGGTTAAATTACCCCAAAAAAATAGAAATAAAATTTTTATGGTAATACTTTTCACCCTATTATTTAGTATTTTTAATCGATATTCACTGTATTTGCTACGTAGTTGTCCACACGTGGGGGACATCACTATTTGCCATGGGAGTAATATCAAATTAGACAAAAAAAATTTAGAGTTATGATTAAAATGATACTGTTCGCCAAAATTACAGAAAAAATGTCGATCACACTTTTAATTTTTAAGTATATTTTATAATTTTTGAATTACACGATTCCGATTTTTGCAAAAATATCTTCATCATCAAATTAACAACATCGTAAATAGCTTTACTACAGAAATGTATATCTTATATATAAAAATGGAGCTCTCTCTCAAATGTCTAAGTAAAATTCGAAAACGGCTAAACTGATTTGGCCAGTCTTAGACTTGAATAATTCGTGCCAATCCAGAGAAAGTCCAAAAGGTGAGATATTATTCCAAAATCGCGTAGAAATTTTACATTTTTAATGTGAAAATTTTTGTAGAAGCGTAATTTGAATAAAACAATAGACGGTGGCTATTACGTGAAATGTCAAACGTTCTTGATCGATGGTGTTCAATTACTTTTAATAGGAAGTTTTACGTGAATATTTACGACAATATAAGTCGAAAGACCTAAAAAACTTGGATTGGATTATACCATGTTTTCTATAGAAAGTATATAAAACTTCCAGTTTGATTGTATTGACAAAATATCGGTAATCTTTGAAAATCCGTAATAAAAGTATTTTCTTTCGTTGGTAGTTTTTTAGCATTAGTTAAAAATGTAATTATTTTGTATTAAACGTGTTTGCCACCTGGCCGTTCCAAGTTACCCCGCCTATTGGGTAAAGAGGTGTAGATAACGAATTTTTGAAAGACATAAAAAAATACATTTCTACAATGATGAAGTAGCTGGCAATTTTACTGAACGTAGTCAGATAATTGTTCGTTAATTCATCGAATGTTACTTGAAACTTCGTAACTTAAAAATTTCCAAAAATAAAATTTGAAAAAAAAATTATAACAATTTTTTCCCTATTAGCAATTATTTTGTTAAAACAAGCAGAAATTCTTTGAATCATTCAAATCGGACACTTAGTTCGTCAAAAACTGCCATTTTTTGTACATTTAGTTCTATCGAAATATCGGAGTATCGCAGTATCGGAGTATCGGAATGTCAGAGTATCGGAATATCTAAATATCTGAATATCTGAATATCTGAATATCTAAATATCTGAATATCTGAATATCTGAATATCTGAATATCTGAATATCTGAATATCTGAATATCTGAATATCTGAATATCTGAATATCTGAATATCTGAATATCTGAATATCTGAATATCTGAATATCTGAATATCTGAATATCTGAATATCTGAATATCTGAATATCTGAATATCTGAATATCTGAATATCTGAATATCTGAATATCTGAATATCTGAATATCTGAATATCTGAATATCTGAATATCTGAATATCTGAATATCTGAATATCTGAATATCTGAATATCTGAATATCTGAATATCTGAATATCTGAATATCTGAATATCTGAATATCTGAATATCTGAATATCTGAATATCTGAATATCTGAATATCTGAATATCTGAATATCTGAATATCTGAATATCTGAATATCTGAATATCTGAATATCTGAATATCTGAATATCTGAATATCTGAATATCTGAATATCTGAATATCTGAATATCTGAATATCTGAATATCTGAATATCTGAATATCTGAATATCTGAATATCTGAATATCTGAATATCTGAATATCTGAATATCTGAATATCTGAATATCTGAATATCTGAATATCTGAATATCTGAATATCTGAATATCTGAATATCTGAATATCTGAATATCTGAATATCTGAATATCTGAATATCTGAATATCTGAATATCTGAATATCTGAATATCTGAATATCTGAATATCTGAATATCTGAATATCTGAATATCTGAATATCTGAATATCTGAATATCTGAATATCTGAATATCTGAATATCTGAATATCTGAATATCTGAATATCTGAATATCTGAATATCTGAATATCTGAATATCTGAATATCTGAATATCTGAATATCTGAATATCTGAATATCTGAATATCTGAATATCTGAATATCTGAATATCTGAATATCTGAATATCTGAATATCTGAATATCTGAATATCTGAATATCTGAATATCTGAATATCTGAATATCTGAATATCTGAATATCTGAATATCTGAATATCTGAATATCTGAATATCTGAATATCTGAATATCTGAATATCTGAATATCTGAATATCTGAATATCTGAATATCTGAATATCTGAATATCTGAATATCTGAATATCTGAATATCTGAATATCTGAATATCTGAATATCTGAATATCTGAATATCTGAATATCTGAATATCTAAAAATCTGAAAATCTGAATATCCAAATGTCGGAATATCTGAATATCTGAATATCTGAAGATCTGAAGATCTGAATATCTGAATATCCGAATCTCGGAATATCGGAATGTCGGAATATCTCTAGAAATTGATTAGAATATACATTTACTTAGCCAAACAACGTTTGCCGGGTCAGCTAGTATTTAATATAAATTATGTAAATAATTAAGCATAGATAAATAAGTATAAAGAAATTAAGTAAATATTATGGATAATTTCAAGTAACATAATGATAATTAACTTATCTATAACGAACTTCAGGAAGCAAGTTTATGACACTGAGCAATAAATTATCACACCAGACGTTTGTAGATTAATATTATTGCACTTTAGATATTTTGTGTAATTTATTATATAAAGGATTTCATTGAAGTAACTTGGTAAAGCAAATATAATATTTCATCATCATAATAATTTATATGGTATCTTTTCGAATATCCCTTAAGTGAGCGTCCCTTAATCACGTGATCGATTTTTTTAGAGATTTTTGGATCCACCTCCCCCTGGGCGACACGTCGTGATATTTAAAATTAACACCCCCCCTCCCCCACCAACATCACGTGTATTTTTAGTTACGTACAATTTTTCGAACAAATTTTTCGAATTTACGAAAAAATCGTTAAATTTTTGATTATTTTTTAAATTCAGATAAAAAAATACACGTAATATTTTACTAGGCCTCTTTCTCCCCCGTGTGAATTTTCGTGACTTTTTGTCAACGCCCCCCCCTTCCTCTAAAAGCCTCACGTGATTAATGGACGCCCCCTAAATATGACGGTCATGTAAGAAGTAAGCTATCAATAATATTTGAAGATGTCACATAAAAAATTTGAGTAAATATTTTGGTTGGAGCTATTTGGTTAAATTTATTTTTAGAATTGTTATAAATATTGCTATGATAAACAGAATTTTAAAAGAACTGTTAAACAAAAGTATTATATTTAAGAATATGAGCATTTCGTAGCTATGTTTAAAAAAAATATTTATGCTTTTCTATCTAACATTCAAATTTAAAATGAATGTTGTAAATAGTTCCATACTAGTGAGCCAGTTTTTCACTTCAAAAAGTCTAATTCTTAAAAAGCTATTTCAGTATAATGAATAATGAATAGTACTGCCCTACGGAAGTTCTGTGAGTTGAGTTAATTTCCAATTCGATTTAGGGAAGAATAGTGTGAGAGATTTCCCATTGCCCACACCGCTGCGTCTATTTTCAATTGGAAACATATTTTTGATCTATATTTCCAAAAGAAAATGGACATCGCTGCTGCACGATATCAGGTTATCCAGAGCGTAGTTCGAACTCATAACCCCGTCCACATGTATCCGTGAGCTTAACTATTATATCGAGTATCTATGTTCTTAATTGCAACTATATAGATCAGAATTGGCAATATATAGATTTCATTACTATTGTAAACAAGAGAGCAAATAAAACAAATATATATCCAAACATGAACTTGATTTTCATTTGATCTTCATACAGTAATTACCGACCTCTATTTTCATTCAAATTCAACATAAAACAAATATATAATCAACACCATATCGCCAAAGAATCAAAGAAAATCGTTCCATGTATAATTAGATCCCGATGACATGCGCGAATTGTGGACAATAGAAAATTATACGCTGAATTAGCTTCGTGACATCCATATAGTGTTTTACCGATATTTATAATGATAAACTACAATGACGAATGATTATTATTCGTGACAATTATTTTTGCGATGTTTTGCAAAAATTTAATCGGGAGTTTTTAGTTATTAAACCGGAAGAATCATAATACGATGGGGTTAATGGGAGGTTAGAGTGGAAGTTGGTAGAAAATTTGTTAAATAGGAAATTTTGCTACTAAATAAAATCTGTGTAAAAAAAGTTAAATTAGTTGGTATTGGTATTTTGCATTGAGGCAATAAGTTACATGAACTTCCCGTTATGTGTAAATAATCGACTTAATCAATAAAAAATAAATTATTTTTTATGAGTGATTAAAAGTTCCAAGTGGATTTATTACACATAATTGAAAACCAACGAACACCTCAACTCGGAGTATTTTCTAAAAGCAAATTTTCAAAAATCAATAATTTTTATAATCAATTTTCGTAGGACTTTAATATTTTAGTATGTTCATAAGACCAAGTCCTCTATCGTTATACCAAGTAAACCGTCTAATTTTAATTTTAACAAACGTCAAAAAAACACTAATTTTCTCAAACTTTGATGAATTTTCAAAATAAAATCACTTGTCGTCAGGCCGTAATTTTTCAGTAGGTTCTATAAGACCATTATATATATCGCCAAAAAAAGTTTCATGAAAGTCGGCTTAAATTTTTTTAACAGTTAATTACAAGAAAACGGCTCGGTAGATTTTCACTTAAAACTAATTAGTATCATTTCCAACTAATATGTTTCGAACGGTTTTTGATTTTTGAAATTCGATTCGGTAGTATATATGAGTTAAAAGGTGGACGAAAAGTTTAACTTTTTTTTTCAAACTACATAGAAACGACTTGGCAGATCGTCGCACAAAACTGACAAACGATAGTCCTCATTGAGATACATCAAATGTTTTTTTTTTCAAATTTGGTCTCATTCGATTCAGAATGGCTTGAAACGTCGAGAAAACATAAAATTAGCCAATGAGACTTTTTAGTCAATCTTTTTGAAATCGATCACATGAATAATGAATGGCCCCTACGAAAATAATAATCATCAAGCAATAAATCTTGTATAATTTTTAATTTAGTACATATTAAATTTCTACCAGCTCGTTGACTAAATAAAAGATGAATGATTAGTAATAACGGTTTATGGCAAAAGCACGAGAGTACTAATAAAGATATTGCAAGGTTATATTATATATAAATTTACCAACATTCTATATTTTATTAACGTAACATAGTCTGAGTTAACTTTAGCTAAATATTATATTAATAATTTAAAAAAAATCTCAAATCCTCTTTGGAGAGTTCGAATAATGTTAATAATTCTTTTTTTCAGATTTAGAGCAGATTGTAAAAATGTTATTGAAAAATTGTTCAAATTTAAAGCAAATTCAAAAAGTAAAATCAGCTTTATTCAAATATTTAAGAAAAATCGAACCGGATACGTTTCTTATACTTGAATGCTTTATATAATTGTTACAAAATAATTATTAGGTAATAACTTCAATTATTCCACACGAAAGTTCGAACAAAATTGACCTGTTTTATATTGCAGTGAATAATTACCTACTTGGTGATGAAAAATTACTAAAGTAATATAATCACGTTCATAATATTGTTCTGCATAAGCAAGAAATGATATAATTTAATACTTCTATAAAAAATCTTATTTTTTTTACGTTTTATTAATTAATTTTACTGAAATATTAGAAGTTTAGAAAACAGCTTTGAATACAATGGAGCAAACTTTATAAAAAGTAGAAATATAAAAATATTTATAATTCAATACTTCTATAAAAAATATTATTTTATTTTACGTTTTATTAATTCATTTTACTGAAATATTAGAAGTTTAGAAAACAGCTTTGAATACAATCGAGCAAATTTTATAAAAAGTAGAAATATAAAAATATTTGCCAATTTAACCTATCCTAATATTGAAGAAAATTAGCAGAAGTTACTGTTAGAATAGTGAATAAGAAATTTCTGTAATTGAGGTAAACTATAGGCTATTTTCTTGATTATCAATAAAAATCTTGAAATAATATATTAAAGTTAGTGATAATAAATATAGTTAAACATACGTAATAACATTTACTTAACTATTATTTGACAAATTTCATTTTTGATCATCTTCTAATGAGTTGGATCATGAGGGCAACGCAGTGGTTGTCCAATCTCTTGGTGATATAATTATTTTATATTTTTCTAATATATATATATATATATATATATATAATATATATTAGTGTGGTCCTTAATATGGATATTTTGAAATTTTTATCTCCCAGAGGCTCAAATGCTTCCAAATTGATACAAAAAATTATCTGAAAGATTTAGCTCTTAATATTAACTTTAATATCGTCCGCACTCCAGTCAAAGTTTCTTGATTCATCTTCTTAACTAAATACTTATTTTATTAAAGATATCAAATTTTTGTTGAATTTTTTATTTATGATCTAAATAAGCAAATACTCAAATTTTGATTCACTTATAAAATTCTAAGAAACAAATGAAATTTTACCCATGTTAATTCCAAACAAAAAAATCGAAAAGATCCACATTAAGAACTGCTCTTATATATGTATGTATGAATGTATTATAAATAATATTATTAACCTTTACCTGGTCGAGTGATCCGGGCCACATTGAATCTGTTCGTATAATCGACTTTGAAATAGCTTTCCACGATCGCTCGTTCGTATTTTCCTTCACCTCTGACAGGTGAAAATAGATATTCTGGATCTATCACATATTTGACTCTTTGGTAACCCGTACAACAAAGCAGTGTCAGTAAAATAGGAACTACTATGAAATATCCAGGATGGTTGCCAACCAGGAGACCTAATTTGTAGAACGAGCGATTCAGCAGGCGGTCCACGAAGGTCACGCCGCAGGTCATCTGGAGAAGAGAGAAAAACAGTTATATAAGAAAAAAAATCTTAAAGTAATTCATAATAAACATATTTTTGTTTTGCCCACACTAAGACTATTCGCAACTTGTATGTAATGATTGTGAAAATGATTTTTCAAACTTTTTGGGAGTCACCAGTTCTAAGACTTCCAGGAATCCAAAATAAAATTTTGTTAGATAAAGCAAATTTATTAAAAATATTATTTTTGAAGTAAAACTTCTTTAGGCGCGAATAGGGTGTAAATCCGTACAAATGCAACGGAAATGCGTTACGCCAGAACTGCACGTCATTCGCTTTCGCTGAAATCATTTCTATACGGGTTAGTCGTCGTGTATGTGAATAAAGATCTGTCGTTGTATGCGTACCGATATCAACAAGGAAATCGGCATAGATAAATAAAAATTTTGAAGTTACATCGTAACTTCTTGATTAAATGAAATATGCCTGGATCAGAAGGATATTCTACCCTGTTTCTTGAAAATATTAAAACGAATTAAACATTTGTACTAAACGTAAGTTTATTGATTTGAAATTATTTCTACATTATTTGTAGTTTCTATAACTCTTTGAAGTTATTAAAATGGAAAATATTTTTTAGGCAAGAAAGATATTACAGCTGTTCAAAGAATGAGATTATATCGCCAGCGAAAAAGTAAAAAAATACAAGTAGTCAATAAATGTATGTTAATTTTGATTACATGAAGTTCCTTAAACACAATTACATGATGAGTGAAGTTGCAGAAACAATATTTGTTTAGGCGTTGTTTAACATAATCCATTGTGTAAACAAATATTATAGAATTTATTAATCAGCAATTACTTCATTTCTCTAATGAAGGTTCATTTCTAAATCCTAATTACAATGACAAACCGATCATGTCATATTTGAAGCATGACTTTAATTACATTATTGTTTTTAAATATTATACATATTTTTAATGCTATTTTAAATATATAATTAATAATTTATCATTATATAAATGCGCATAATGGTCGATACTAATAAATGTGCGCATTACGAGTGTTGCCATATTACTAATAAGCATTATTCAAAATTGTTATATGATGTAATTATTTTTACTGAAATGCAATTTTGTACAGTAGCAAATAAGTTTTACTTCAATCATTGTGAACCTTACGCACACTCTTTTTTTAATGTGATTTTATTTATTTCGCTCTGCAGATACTAATATTTATTTCTGATCAGAAGAAAACAAGTGAAACAATGAGTGTTTTGGTCGTTGGATTGATAATACTAAATACAAATGCTATACAAATAAAATATAAGTAATAAATTTTGAACCAAAAGATACCCATTCGCTATTGTCTTAAGTGAAAGTTTTGTCTTGTTATTGATAACCATATGAATTGTTCAAAATGCCTTCGTATATTTTGCTGAAACTGAAAGTCACAAAACTATAAATCACTAGGACAATAGTGTTATTGGATAGAAATCGGAAATAGAAAAAATTCAGGCTAATTTTAATTGAACTATAGTATTAAAATTCAATCCCTACTACAATTTCAAGATTCTAAAATTAACAAAAATACAAGACGCCAAGGTTTAATTATAAGTAGCATTTGTAGAGATTCTTTGATTTGATAGTAGGTACCAAAGAAACTAACAACTACTAATAAAATTTAGTAAATAATTTCTAGAGAATCCAAAAATGCTCATTTCAAATATTTCAAAAAAGTTGATATTTTGAGTTTCTAATAACACTTGCAAGCCGTTTAGTAATGTTTTTGCATATAAGTAAAACTACTCATTATAATAAATAATATTTATTTGAAACATCCTATTAAATTTAGTTGAACGTCATCTGTCATTCCAAGTATAAAATTATTTATTTGATATATTAGGATGGTGCATCCAAGAGAATAGTCGTATTGTACGACAAAAAACTTTATACAACAATTTCACAATTTGACCAAGTTAATTTTTATATTTGCAGCATTGTTTTAAAATATAAAATAGTTTCAATTAATGAACAAGTAAATACAAGAAAAAACAGATTCGTTTCTCAAGTATAAAGTGTGGTCTACAATTGTGGTCCAATTCTCACGAATACATCAAGAACTTAATGTAAATTAGTGTGAACGATCTAATTAAATAATGATATATTTTAGTAAATGAAAACCGGATTTCGAATTGTTTTTCTTTAGGTAAAGTCTTAACTTTTACTTTAAAAGCAATTTCTAGCTGAAGGTCACTCAAAATTACATCCAATTCGGATAAAACCAGTTCAAAATTCGATAAAACAAATCTAAAGATTGCATTATAACCTTTGATACAAATTAAAATTTTAACTTTTTCTATAAATCTCTATAAATGCTACTCATAATTCTTTTATCAATGTTTATTTAAATATGGAAAATTTACCATTACCTGAAATCTATTATTGTGTAATAAAATTGTCAAATTAATATGCCAATATAACTTCTATAAATTGAAAAGTGAAATTTCTGAGGTGTTGAATTCAATTTACAATACAACGTATTGCATTGTATTTATTTTATCGATTTGTATATAATGATGTATTGATGAAAAAGTTAACAAAAACTATTATGAAAGATAAATCAAGAGATATTTAGATGTACTTTTTAACTATTGCAATATTTATAGTAAAAATATATCCTTGTCCGAAATAAATAGACTCTCTAAATTCGTAGTTACGACTTTTTTATGGACGTTGATGATTTTTAGATGGCCTGGCCTAGATGAAAATCGTTTATATTTTTATATGAATTTATATTTTTGAACGCATTTGCATGGTTTTTTCTATAAATTTCAAAATCTCAAATTCAAGTATATTTCCAAGTAACAATTATTGATTATATTTTCGAATTGTTATCTTTCACATATGGGTTTTATATAGCTCGAAGCCACCAGAATTTGCGAAAACAGTTACGTGTTCCCAATTTCTTTGAAAGTGACGCATATTTCGAAAACGGATACAAATTAATAATTTTCTTTGTGACAAGTAATAAATACCAATTAGTCACCAGTAGATTTGAAGAAATTATTTCGAAAGGAAACATAGTTCGAAAGCAATTTTTTAAAATCAGTAACTAGAAACTAACATGAAATTTCTAAGAATGATAGAGTATGAAAAAAGTGAAGACGATAATACAAAATTTATCTTGTTTTTCTTTCCGATTATTCTAAAATCTAGTTAGTTTGACATTTTTTTAAGAAATTTTTAGCAATGCATATTTTAAGAAATCATCATCTTTTGGTAGTTCACTGCTTCGATGGTAAAAATGTTGCTCAACCAGAAAATATTGACCAGTAGAAGAAACAATGGATGACATTGAGTTTTTAACATAAAAGTAGAAAATCTGGAAAGCAAATTACATATTCAATCTGAAAAACCAACTATCTGGTAAAAGTTTAACACTATGCCGTCCGGCGACACCACAGTGGTGTCGAGCGCGAACTAGCGCTTAACAGCCGGCGACACCACAGTGGTGTCATGAGCACAGTATCTTCCTTTGGCCAGTGGCAGAAATCTTTCCATCCTGTTGGTGTTTTAATTTAGATAACAAAAAATTACACCCCTCAACATTAGTAAGAACTAAAAATTTGTAATTTTTCGATAATATTCAGAATGGGCGGGGACAAGCAAAGTGATAACGAATTAGCACTACCGGCGCCAAGCGAATAAATTTTTACAAAACGTGCGGACGGCAAAGTGTTAATATATCAAATTAAGGCATTCATAATCACTTGAACCATTTTTAACTCTTATGGAGTTGCTAAACATTGAATTACTTCCTAAACACAATATCTTTCCGAAATATAAAGTATTATTGCTGAAAAAGAATTTGTTTTGGAAATTCGACTGCCAAAAATTTGCAGATGTTCCATATGCATTAGGTGCAAATATTAGAAAAAAATTAACTATCTATCATACACCTTGTCATTCTTGGTGATACTACCTTGATCAAAATTTGAACAATAATGTAAATTATAATGAATAGACAAAGATTTATGTTTACCAACATTGATATTTATGGAATACCGGTTCACAGAGACTCACATAACTCGCAAAAACTAAAATATTAATAAATACTTGAGATATGAGTTGACAGGTTAATCTTGAAACTAGACGAAGGCTATCCGCCTTGATTTATTCTGCGTTCTTCAGAAGGTCTTTAAAACTCATACGGGATCATCTAGATAATTTATTGGCAATCATTGATTTGTTGGCAAGTTTAGCAGTAACTGTTAATATTGAAATTATATACCGGTATATAACGTTAGAAATGAAAGAATTTAATTTAATCATAATTTCAGGGGCAATTTTTTAGACATTTGCTAAATATCTTGGAGATCTGACCTAGACCAGATGGATAATTGAAAGCAGTAGTTGCAAGGATTGAAATACATTTTACTATGACTTATAATAAGTAAATTTTACATATCATTTTTTAATTCTAAATAAATTTGAAGAAACTAACTGAATCTCGAAGTTAGTCTATCTTCATATTATATTAAATTGAGTTTCATATATTGGTTTTATGGTCTGAAATATTTCGTTCTGAATAACCATATTACGATATATTGCATCAGAGCCTGTGGCGAGCAGTAAAAATAAAACTTGAAAATTATATAACTCAGATATAAAAAAAACTGTAACTTGACGTGATCTAGAAACCGTTGCGTAAATGCAGGAAACTCATAACACTTTGGAATAACTATGTGGAATTTCGATTTAAATATATTTATTTGATGTGATTTTTCAGAACTACAAAAATTATATTATCAACAAAATTTATGATTTAAGCGACATGTAACAAAATAAAATGCTTAAGATTATTTTAACTACTAACAAATTATTTTAACTGACTAACGAATTTTGTACTTGTACCAAATGGAGCAAGGATAGAAAATCTACACGTGATAATTATTTTAATAATTAAAAACCAGCCAAATATTTATGAAATACATTAAAATAATAAATAATATAACCCATAAGAGGTT